GCTGAAACTTTAGGGGAACGTTCCCCACTCACATGTGACCCCGAAAATTTAAATTCAGTCTTCCCGTACCCACGGGTAACAGGGTACGGCCCTGTAAAAGTTTTGGCGGGTAAAACTATTATCACGGTGACCACGGGAACTGAAAGGCTGAAATTTAGTGGGCATGTCCCCTGCCCACGTGGTACCCAGAAAATTTAAATTCTGCTTTCCACTGCCCGTGGGTAACATGTACGGCCCCGTAAAAGTTTTGGCGGGTAGAACTATTATCACGGGAACCACGGAAGCTAAGACTGAAATTTTGTGGGCGTGTCCCCTGCCCACACACAGCTCAGAAAATTTAAGTTCAGCTTTCTCCTGCCCGCGGGTAGCACGAACGGCCGCGTGAAAATTTTTGCGAGTAAATTATTATCTCAAGAATCACGGGATCTACGAAGCTGAAGTTTTAGGGTAATGACCTCCTGCCCACGCTCGACCTTGCATATTTAAATTCAGCATTCCTACGCTCTCGAGTGCTACCTGTGGCCCCGTGAATGTTTTGGCGTGTAAATTATTACCCCGGGAACCACAGAAACTTGGAAGTTGAAGTTTTATGATAATCTCTTATGTCCACATAAAATCCTGCAATTTTAAATTCAGCTTTCCGCTTGTCCGGGTATCACTTACGGCCCCGTGAAAGTTTCAGCCTGGAAAATTATCTCGGGGACCGCGGAAGTTGGGGATCTGAAATTTTAGGATGACCTCCTCTAAAAATGTACAACCCTGCAAGTTTGGATTCGGCCTTAGTGCCACGTACGACCCCGTGAAAGTTCGGTAGAGAAATTATCTCGTGTGCGTGGAATTTTTAATGAGAAATTCCGCAACTTAAGAGCCAAACAACATTTCAACTATTTTTGCACAAACCGAAGTGCAAAATCATTAGCAGGGAATCGTACGGTGGACGGAATTGCACAAAACGCATGATCGCACCGGCTGCGCTGATGTGCGCCGCTATTTATTTTTTTGTCGTGCTAACTTTCTCTCAGCATAATTTTCTTGTTGAGCATTTAAAACAAATCTAGCCCTCCCCCTACCGTAAGTCCGCTTCTGTTTCCAGTTGCTACCTCCAAGCAGCGTCTCAGCTCCTTCCCAATCCCCCTCTTCTGTTATGGTTTTCAGAAATCTAAGCCATCCCCTCCACCTCCTCCCTCCCCTCATCCCTCCCATAGGCGGATCCAGGAGACAGGAGTTCAGGACGATAAACGATGGCAGTGGTTGGAGATGGTGGGTACCCCGACGCGGCTCTGGAGGCAGGGATTGAGGTCAGGATACAGAAGGGGAAGAAGGATGCTAGTCAGGAGTTCGAAGCAAGAACTGCAGATAGCAGCAAAGAGGAGAATAAATCAACACGGCATTACAAAGAAAAGTAAATTAAACCTGAATTTGTGAATAAAAGGAAAAAAAGCAAAATCAAATAAATGGTCAACGCACGGGCTGCCCGTGCGAAGATGCGTTTTTTGCAGAGTTCCCCGCAGGTTTTTGTCGTAGCGACATCGGTTTTTCGGCAGATGCTTCTAGCTGAATTTCAGACTGGCCGCCACAACTGTCAGGAAA